CCCTTTCTCTTGCTCTCTACAGCACAAGTTCTATACCAAGAATGTTTTTAAAAAGTTAATAAAAAGGCCAAAAATTCAAATAGAAAAATGGAGAAAAGCTATAAACATCTAATTCATGGAAACACGAATTCAAAACATGGCCGTTAGGGCCAGCCAGTGGCATGGTAGTTAAGGTGGCTGGATCCCACATTGGCTAAATGTGCAGTTCAAATCCCAGACCCAGTGGCTTGAAAAGCACACTGGGCACACGCATGTGTGTGTTATAGTCTACTCAGAGAGAAATGAGAGGGCATCCGGACATAGCCAAATTTATTGGAGTTTATTGATTAAGCCGGTGGTGGTGGTGGTGGTGGGGGAGGTGACAACTCACGTCTCTCAAAACCCCGCAGCCCTGAGTGCAAGGTGAGGGGTGCTTATAAAGGCAAAAATCACACTCTTTTCCCTTTTCTGGGTAGAACAAAGAGTGGTGGGCTGGAAAGGGAAGGGGTAGGGTTTTACAATGTAAAAGCAAGCAAAAGCCATCAGAGAGGCAGAACCAGCAGGTAAACAGGTTAATCATCTAAGGGTATTTTCCATCCCTACCTAAACACAATGGAATCTTAATGGTCTTCATGGCTCAGGGAAAGGTCCGGTGAATGGACTTATATGAAAGCCACTAGGAGAAGGCAAATTTCTAGTTACAGGAATTTCACAGTTTATAATGGAGGTGCTCCTCCAAGATGGAGTTGCGCCTACTTCATGTGTGTACCCCAAATCCTGACAGACCGGAGGAGGAGGGACATCCCCCTGGGGAGGTGCTTTCTTTCTCTCTCTCTCTCTCTCTCTCTCTCTCTCCAGTAAGCACACGTACCCTATGGCAAATTAAAACAAAATACGGCTGTTACACATAGGAAGATGTTCAAATGATCCCTAAAAGAAATTCCAAATGACCAAAAATAACAGAGCTGACTGTGCGGACGAGAGCATACGCAAACAGGAGCTCTTGTTCACTGGGAGGGTGCACATATCATCTTCCTAAAAACTATTTTCACTTATCTACCAAATCAAAATGCAACACCCACTTATAGAAATTTCTCCTACAGATACACGTATTCACAAAGGAGTTGTAGAATGTTTAACAGACTTGGGGTCCGCAGGTGGCGTGGTGGTTAAGGTGCTGGACTCCCACATGGTGAACCATGGTTCAAGTCCTGGACCTGGCGGCTTGCTTTCTCACTTTCCCTCGTTTTCTCTTTCTCTATCTCACTCTGTCCCTCTCTGGTCAAATTAAAATAAGTAAAGTTAAGTTAAAAAAAAAAAAAATTTACAGACTGCAATTTATAACAACTCTGTAGCAAATTAAAGGACATAATGTAAACTCTACCAATCAATAAGGGAATGATCAGGTAACTTATGGTGTATACACACAATGGGATACTAAATAGCCATTAACAAGAACAAGGCAATTCATAGTAGTGATAAAACCCCCAGGAGACATACCACAAAAGCAAAGTATAATGAGCAACCCTTTGTTTGTCAAAACAGACAAAGCAGAGAAACAAACCACAAAACCTCACATTAAAGGAGGAAGAGCAGCTACCATCGTCCTGTTTGATATGCAAAGGACATCTCTGGGTGGGTGCAGGAAAGACTGTCAACAGCCACCACTGCTCACCAGAGCCAAGCTATGGCTTAAGGGAAAGTGGGAGCAGAATGATTTACTTTTTGCCCTGTAGAGCTTTGGCATTCTTTGAACTTAACATATGTATTTTACCTAAAAAATGGTCATTATTACAAAACAAAAGAAACCACAGTCATAGGATAAAGGCTGCTAAGTCCGCAGTGCCTTGCACAGCAGGGGTGCTCAGTGAGTGCAGAATCAGAGCAATGTCAGTGCAGAAGAGGACAGCGGATTTAACACAAACTCAATTACAAGTTTGGGTTTTGTGTTTTGCATAGGAAACATTTACCCACAAGGAGAAAGGATCTGGAATTCAAACTGGAGGTGTCTGTACTCAGCATCAACTTTGTGAGACACTGATGGCAAGCTAGAACAGTAAACATGTTAGTACGAAAGAATCAACGCGCCGTGGCGGGACGTAAGCAGATTCTGACATTTCAAAAGATGTTACTACACAGAGAAGAAGAAAGAAAACTCAATTCCTCACAGGGCACAAGTGAGTGAAGAAGGATGGATGTGATGTTAAAAAATCAGAGACAAAATAACGGAAAGAGAGCAAACAGAGAAAAGAAAGAGTGCAAACAGAGAAAAGCAGTCCATTCTCATCCCATCACCAAAGTAATTTAAGAAATCTCTTGAGTGCCTGGAATTTGCTGCTCCCTCCAGATAAGAGTCAATGAACTCCAAGGAGCTATATTGAAATAAGTGAGTTAAATTGGGGCTTGGGAAACTTGGTTTCTACAGAACATTTCAGTCTTTAAGAGAATGACGCGTTACTAATGTAAAAAAATAAGCAAAAAAAAAACCTCACAGGGGCTCTTAGTGGTTCTGCTGATTAGCAAATCAAACCACTGTCCTTCAAAGAGCCACCGAGAGGAACAGTGGATGCACGGTCAGCCAATCCCGCTACAGGACTAGGCCCCAGATGAGCACCTAGAGACCCAGAAGGATAACGCGACATGCGGGAAGTTAAAAGAGTGCAAACAGAGAAAAGCAGTCCATTCTCATCCCATCACCAAAGTAATTTAAGAAATCTCTTGAGTGCCTGGAATTTGCTGCTCCCTCCAGATAAGAGTCAATGAACTCCAAGGAGCTATATTGAAATAAGTGAGTTAAATTGGGGCTTGGGAAACTTGGTTTCTACAGAACATTTCAGTCTTTAAGAGAATGACGCGTTACTAATGTAAAAAAATAAGCAAAAAAAAAACCTCACAGGGGCTCTTAGTGGTTCTGCTGATTAGCAAATCAAACCACTGTCTTTCAAAGAGCCACCGAGAGGAACAGTGGATGCACGGTCAGCCAATCCCGGTCAGCCAATCCCGCTACAGGACTAGGCCCCAGATGAGCACCTAGAGACCCAGAAGGATAACGCGACATGCGGGAAGTTACACTCGGACCCAGGGTTTGCGCGAAGCCTCCCACAACACCCTCTAATCTCTTGTCCTCAGCTCACCGATCTCTGAAATAAGAGAGTTGGGCTAGAATTATGGGACCCAGCTGAGGTCAAATATTACCAAATTCTCTAACAGTATAAAGAAAAACCCCTCTTCCTGCAAGTCCTCCCAGAGTTTAAGTGGATGAAACTCTTACTACATGATTTGGTCATTTACATTTTATTCTTCCGTAACTATACAGCAGGCACAATGCTAATCTCACTGTAGTGTTTAATGGGAAAAAATCAGTTATCTTTAGAAAATAAAATCCTTCTTACCCATCTCAATGAAAACCAGTACTAAAAGTTTGCTATTGCTCTAATCTCTTCATGCATTTATACATGCATAAAATTGTTTGTGAAACTGCAATTATACTATACATACTGTTTTATAACCAGCCTTTTCTAATGCACGTGGGAAGAACACTTGCCGAAGTTCACAAGCAGTAACTGAAAAGGTATCACTTTTACTGCATGGTTCTATCACTGGGATGATTGTGCAGGGTTTCTTTTAAAAGCTGATTTAAACATGCTTTTAACCTGTTCATTTCTCTCTCTCTCTCTCTCTCTTTTTTTTTTTTTTCGAGAGGTTTTTTGCTACAGGTCACATGTGCTCGCCAGACAGACAGAGAGAGACATAGAGACAGAAAGCGAGAAATCACCCCCCGGGGGGATGGCCATACCGCAATCCCTTCTCCTCCATTCTCCTCTCGGGATCTTGGGCACGCACGCACACACGCCCAATGTGAGTTTTAAGCCACCGGGTCCAGGACGTGAACCGTGGTTGACTACTTGGGAGTCCAGCGACATAGCCATTACATTACGCTAACAGCTGGTCCCAACCTGTTCATTTTTCAAAAAAGAATTGTTTCATTATTTTAAAATAATTTTAGGCCTACAAAATAACTGCAAAAAATAGCACAAGAAATTCCAAGAATAGACCATTCTTGAGGAAATTACTATCAACTCACAACCATTAATTAATTAATTAATTAATCTTATAGGGTTCATTCAAATTTTGCCAATCGATCTGTTAATGTATTGCCTAATCAAGGACCATGAGGTTTGTGTAGTCACACTTCATCTCTATCTGGAGCAATCCCTTCAGTACTTCGTTTTTTATGAACTTTACACTTTCAAGGTCTACCGGCCAGCTCTGTGTACAATGTCTGGTGGTCTGGTATTTCCTTATGATTAAACTCAGATTGTGCGTTTTGGTGAGACCAGAGAGGAGAGGTGTCCTCGCTGCCTCCTATCGGAGACCCGAAGGCCTGACTTTGATCATCTGGCTCAGACAGTGACAGCTGGACATCCCCACTGAACATTCCTGCTCCCCTCTGGAATTCGAAGTGTCTTGTGAGGGGAGTGTGAAAACATCTCCACTCCTCACCACACGTCTATCTACTCATTTTCGCATCTATGGACTAAAACCAAAAGCAGTATTTGGCATTTGGCAAATGTGATTTTTTTTAAAAAAGAATTATTTTACTTAACTGTATTTATTTACTTACTTTAACTTAACCAGAGAGTGACAGAGAGAGGAAAATTGAGACAGCAAGCCGCCAGGTCCGGGACTTGAACCAGGGTTGACCACATGGGAGTCTAGCGCCCTTAACCACCAAGTCACCTGCTGGCCCCGCAAATGTGATTTTCTATTTCCATCACTTCCACACTTACTGAATTTATTCTACAAGAAACAGTTTGTCCTTCTTCATCTATTTAATAGTTGAGCGATTCACCTACATCAGTTTGGACTCACGAACATTTGTTTTAGTCTATGAACTACAAGGCAATACTACTATTATTGTCACTCAAAGATCAGACAGGCTTGATACACTTTTAATTCTGTATATTCAAACAGAGAAAAGCAGAAATCAATGAGCTCTTCTTGTCTATTCGGTGCACTCACCTCACTTTCTTTTTTTTTCTTTCTTTTTTTCGAGAGGTTTTTGCTATAGAGCATGTGAACTTGCCAGAAAGACAGAGAGAGACAGACAGAAAGCAAGAAATCACCCCCCAGGGGGGATGGCCATGTCATAATCCCTTCTCCTCCATTCTCCTCTCGGGATCTTGGGCACGCATGCACGCACAAGCGCCCGGCGAGAGTTTAAGCCGCCGGGTCTGGGACGCAAACTGCAGTGGACCACATGGGAGTCCAGTGACATAGCCATTATACCAACTGCTGGTCCCTCACCTCACTTTCTATTTCTTTTTTTTTTTTTCCAAGTTTTTGCCATAGGCCATGTGTGCTTGGTAGAGACAGACAGTGAGAGGGAAAGTGAGAAATCACGGGGGGGCGGGGGGAATGGCCATGATGTAGCTTCTCCTTCAGGGATTTTAGGCACATGCACAAGCACCCAGTGAGATTTTCAAATCACCAGGTCTGAGACTTGAACTGTGGTTGGTCATATGGGAGTCCAGCACCTTAACCATTATGCCATCTGCTGGCTCCTCACAATTTCTGGTCTCATCTTTCCCTTTCAGTTAAAAATAACTAGGGCTGTGGGATTCTCAGCTGGGATCTGAGATGAAATCCCTGCCCATGAATCAGGGCAGTTACCTGGCCTCCTACCTGGGACCCGTTGTCGCAGGTGCTAAGCCAGACGGTTCAGCGACGGAAGATGAACTCTGGGCCAAGTTAAGCAGGAAGCAGCCCGACTGTCAAACTCTAACTGGGTGCTGAGTTTCTCTTCTGCTATTCACCCCTACATACCACTGTACACTACTCTAAATAGGAAGTTCAGCCTTCCTGGTAAAAAGTAAATAAAGCATTGGTACACAGGACAAAGGTTAAATTTAATTTCTTACATGACTGACAACACAGATGCGAGATAAGAGCATAGAAGGCCAACTGCAAATCAAATCATTCTGAGATATTCACCAAGTGTTAACTTCACAGGAGGCCCTATGCTGGGTACAGTGGCAGGCAGACACAGTCCTTGGATAGCCAAGAGCCAGCGATCCCTGCACCACACAATCACGGCACACAGTGAAGCACCTGGTCTCGAGACAAACACCACCAAACGGAGACCCAGGACCACCACTACTTGCCGTAAACTCTTAGTGAGCTATTTAACTCTCCTAAGCCTCAGCTCTTGTCAAGCGGGATGAGAACGATTCTGTAACGGGATGGGGCACGTTTGACTCGTGGGGACCATTTTACAAATGTTCCCTGTTATTCTGTGAAGATTGTGAAGTGTATTTATTTCACTCCATTCTGGGCAGGCAAGAATAGAAAGGATCTTGAGATGTAACATGTGTATGTAATGCACACTCTAGAAGGAAGTAAGAGAGTGATGTCTGTGAAAAGATCCCTTCAGCCCTCCTGTCCCTGCATGGTCAGCTTCCTGGCTGCTAGCACACTGTGAATATGACAGAAACACATGCTGTACTCACCTGTATTTTTGATTTCATTGCTTGAAGAGACTGGACCACAGGGATGCAATAGGCAAGAGTTTTACCTTTTAAAAAAGTGTAAAAGCAATGAAAATCACAGACCCTGTAGATGTGAGATAAGGAAAGGCCATGAAAGAAATGGCTGGGCTTTCTGTGGCGAACACTAAGTTCTGGGGAGAAAACAGCACAGCGTACACCTAAGAGAGGTGAGAAGGAGCCTCCCCTGTCTGCCACAACCCCAACTCTGCCTTGTGAACTCCATTCATCTTTTTTTTTTTTTTTTTTTTTTAATTTTTTTTTCTTTTTAAATTCCATACTTCTTCAAGCTAAACAAAACCCCTGAAGTTTCAGGGCCTTTACCCATTTCTTTTCTTTTTTAAAAAAAAATTTTTTTTTGGAGAGGTTTTTGCTATAGGGCGCGTGCGCTCGCCAGACAGAGACAGAGAGATAGAAAGCGAGAAATCACCCCCCAGGGGGGATGGCCATACCGCAATCCCTTCTCCTCCATTCTCCTCTCGGAATCTTGGGCACGCATGCACACACACCCGGCGTGAGTTGAGTCTGGGACGCGAACCGCGGTCGACTACATGGGAGTCCAGCGACATAGCCATTCCATTAACTGCTGGTCCCAAGTGCCTTTACCCATTTAACAAGGTTGTAAACTATATGTTTACACACAAAATCTCTACTTGAAGGTTATCTGCAAAGGCTGAAAAATTCTTCCTCTGAAGCCCTCCTTAACCTTTCAGATGGGATTAGGATGCAGTTTGAACCCCAAAGCTAACCTTTAAATACTGATAAACCAAAGGATGGCAAAAGCTGGTGTCCATCCCCCACCTGAGATGGTGGCTAAGTTGGTGAGGGTGGACACAGGGTGACCTGCTCTGGGGACACAGGTGAGCTGGAAGAATGAGCCCAAACTAGTCTGGAACACAGCAACTTCATCTTTGGTGCTCGAGCACAAAGCCCAGCGTCTGCCAACATGTGCTTATGCTGGAGCTCTGGCTCTCAAGACCAGAAGACAATACTGGTCCCCTGCTAAAGCGAAGGTGCACAGCTCTGGGTGCTCAGACGGAGGGACCTGGCAAAGGTCAGAACAGGCTCCGAGGGAACGACAGAACTTGACTCCTTCCTAATCATTCCTGATCATGGTACCATCATTCGCCCTCCTCTCACTATGTGAACAAGTTCATGGCTCCAATCCAAGCAATCACAGCTTGTCCCCCACCCCCGGCCAGACAAAACAAAGTGGCCATGCCACTCAGACACCTTATACACAACCTACTGCCTAACGGGGCCTGGGTACCACAGGAAGGGCAGAAATGAAGTCACAACTCACCCGAGCCTGTCTGGGATTTCACGAGAGCGTCTCTGCCTTCCAGCAATGCAGGAATACTTTGCTTCTGAACACTGGAGCCACCCAGAAAAGAGAACACACTTGTCTATGATATATTATCCAGCCATATTCAAAGGCGGAGATCTGGGACAGGCAAAATGTACTGCCCTGCATTTTATCAACTGCCACCTCTGAAGTTACCTAAATGTTCTGAGGGAAGACGCTGAGAAATGTTTGATGATTAGGAGAAACTGCAACTAAATTTCTGCAACTTAGCTGAAAACGGTGAGGCAAGGCAGAAATCAGACATCCTACTAAACGAATTTTTAAAAAAATGTGGACAGGCATGACCCACAAACTAGTTTCCCAAAAAGTGTATGACACGTTCTCTTGCTGCTGAGACAGAGAACGTGGACCACAATAAAACGTAGCACAACAACAGTGCATCGGAACAACACCGGAAGCTGTAAAGTCCCAGCAGCCCGCGGCAGCCACCTGCTCTCCAGGACGCTGCTCAAATATACCGAGACACAGATCTGCCCGTACATTTAAAAACGGGACAAGTAGGTGGTGTGGTGGCTAAGGCGCTGGACGCTCCCAATATTCAAAAGTCTTGGGCATCAGCCCCAAACTTCTAGAGGGTTCAAAAACCTATTCACTTATTAGCATACTGCATGTGGTACAAAGTAAATGTTAACATATATATTTTTGGCTATTAGCTACATACGGACCTCTCTTAAGAGAGAGAAGAAGCAAATAACTCTGTAAGAAGACTCTTGACATGGGTGTGGTGGTTAAGGCACTGGACACTCCCACATGGCCGACCACAGTTCGAGTCCCGGATCTGGTGGCTGGCTTTCTCGCATTCTCTCTCTCTGGTCAAATTAAAATAAATGAATAAATAAAATTAAATAAAAAGTACTTCTTTAAGGAAAAAAAATGACAAAGAATACAGGCACCATTTAAATCTGGTTAACACAAAATAACTGGTGAGGAAGTTCCCTATTTTATTATTTAATATTTCTAAATAACTTGCTTATAAAAGTAAAATGTCATCATTATTAAAAAACATGGAGACATATGTACTCAAAATGAGGATGTTTATCTCCCCATACCTTTTACCTCTATTCTCCAAGAGCCACCGGTAAACAAACATTTAAAAAGCTTTTCAGCATCCCATTATACTCAACCAAATTTTTATTCCCGTCTTTCTTGTTGACGCTAAGTCTTACTACTAAGAAACAGCATGACCAAATTCCGTATGTTGGCCGAATTAACAGCAGAACATCTGCAGACCAGCTTCTGCACTAGCCAGCTCTTGCAACTTACAGTCAAGAGGAGAACTAGGAGGAAGCCCGTCTCTCCATTTACAGAAACAAAGGGCTAAACAATATGCCAGGCCCCGTGGTCAGCAGCCCGCGTTGTCTTCTAATGCTAGAACACAGGTTTGCTCTGCCCTCCAGCCAATTCAGATTTCATCTGGTTCTATCCCTTTAAGCCCATAGAAAATCAAGATAAGCCTGAAACTCTTACCTAGTCATAGTAGACATTTTTAAGACTGTATTTATTGTAGAAATCTAAAAGAGAAGATTAAAAAAATAAGTATTTCCTTTAACTATCAATTTTTTGATAGAAATGTATTCAATGAGAAGGACACACAAAGGAGGAAGTACTGAGAGGACCCTGATCCACATGTGGTCCTCTGGGGAACATGTGACAATGTCTGAAGGAACGTTTGGTTGTTCCCACCTGGGGAGAGGGTACAGCAGGCATCTAGCAGGATGAGGACAGTCCTCACAACAAAGAATTGCTGTCCCCAAATGTCCACAGTGCCACGGTTAAGAAACCCTGCTCTGGCCTGCGGGTGAGAAAAGGTTACACACCCCACCTTGAAGCAAGGGCAGGTAAGCCATGACCACATGAGCAAAGGAGACCGAGACTTCCTGGGAGGTCACGTATTTTTTTTCTTTCCTTACTTGTAAGAAGTCCGGAAAACTCATTTATGGCTTCAGAAAACAGAAACAAAAAGGTGCCCCATCTGGGTAGAAAATGCACGTTAGAATAGCCTCTTCCTCCTTCTCTCATTCTCTACAGCAGCACTTTCCTCAATAGCAAGATGCCAGCTCAGCTCCCTCTCCTATGGGCACTGTGACACCTGGCCCCAAGAATGGCCTCCATACCACTTCTACCCAGTACTAAGGAAGCTGTCGTAAGGCCAGTGAACGAAGTTCCAGTTCTAAACTGCATTTCATGAGGACAGTCTTCAGTTCTTTAAAAAATCAGGATGCAGAAGGATGGGGCCAGGCAGAGGATCAGGAAACAGCGACCTGTAACCCAAGCACACGTGAACTGTCCTAGAGGGTACCACACCGATCTGAGCTCAGCCAGGGAATGTGGAGCAAAACAAAGACTCTCCCACTTCTCTTCCCAGAACCACGCTTTCACAGACATTCCGAACAAACACTGACGACGACCCACGAAACACTGAGGGGTACTTACCAAATGTGGGTGCAGGCCCAGCTCATGAAAAGCATCGGAAGTGAACACTTTTTCTCGCACCTGCTTTACTACAGGTCTGCAAAGGATGAATGAAAACCCAGGCATCAGTTCCAATACCAACAAGAAAAGGGCAGAACACACTTCATTCCTTCTACTCCTCAAGTGCACCTGTACCCAGACATACCTGTGGAGATCGGGAATCTCAGGATTGTTTTTAAACAACGAAGAAGTCTTAATGCATGGCTTCTCCTCTTGGTTCCCATCACTTGTGCTGGCTGAGTATTTCGGAGAAAATGTTTTTTGTGCCTTTCCCTTAAAAGTCCTTTGAGTTTCGTTAACACGGGTTTTCCTGGCAGGGAGAAATGATGTTTCGCTCCTCCGTTTGGCCGGGGGAGCCTCACTGGATGCCTGGTATTTTCTTTTGGTAGCTTTCGCTTGCTGCGTTGTTCCCCAAAGGAAAGATCACGAGAGATGCATTAGTCCATGAAGACAGCCCTCGGAGTGAAGCCTGACTGCCCACAGAATTGCATCTTCTCCTGCAGAGATCATTATGCCCCATATGTCAAGCAACAGTTTAGGGTTTGCTATCAGATTCTGACTTAGCTTTTTGAAAAGGAAAAGAAAAAAAAAAAAAAAAACCACAGACAATCTCAGCTCATTCATCTATTAAACCTTACCACCCATCTTCACTGTTAAGTCAACTAAGATGAGGATGAGGATCAAGGGAAGAGTCATTCTCCAAGCTGACTGTGAACCAAGGGTGCCCCTCTTACGGGAAGACAGCACCTGTGAAGTGTGCGTGCTCAGTCAGTCCCCATCCCTAGAGATTCTGACTTAGCTTTTTGAAAAGAAAAAAAAAAAAAAAAAAAAACCACAGACACAATCTCAGCTCATTCATCTATTAAACCTTACCACCCATCTTCACTGTTAAGTCAACTAAGATGAGGATGAGGATCAAGGGAAGAGTCATTCTCCAAGCTGACTGTGAACCAAGGGTGCCCCTCTTACGGGAAGACAGCACCTGTGAAGTGTGCGTGCTCAGTCAGTCCCCATCCCTAGGAATCCAGGCACACGAGAATAGAGGGGCAGGGGAAATGAACCTTTACAGACAGCTGTCGGAGACGGGAGAGATGAGGGACGTCGCGTCCCAGCTCATGCCCAGGAAGGGGGAACTTCCATTACTGCTCTACCCCAGTGTTTGGATCTCCATCATCCTCTCCCCCCAGCTGCTCCTCCAGATTCAGATGGTCTGGAGACAATTCCTACTCGGCGTTCCATTCCAAATGAGAATGCTGACCCATCCATCACTTCCATCACAACTACTCCCAGCCCTCCTTGCCTTTCAAGTCCCCACATGATCACCCACCAGGTATTTCTTGCCTGTTGCTTATCTCCATAATGGGAATGTGACTAAATGTGCCATGCTTGAACGTCCTCTAGGAGCAGAGCCATCCACAACCTGTGTTTTCTGTGTCCTTCTCCTCCAGTGTAAACACGAGTATTACAGCTTCCCTCCCGAAGTCCGTGCGTGGTATACTGGAATTCTGGCTTCTCTTGGAATATGTTCTTTTCCTCTTTGCTTGAAATAAGGCTGCATTTACACAATGGCTTGCTCAGCTTCAGACTAACCTACCACGACTACGGTTCTCTGTTCCTGGAAACCACAGGATTCCTTTACCTAAATAATTATGTAAGTACAACTTCAAATATTTAATATTATTAAAGCAAGTACTGACCTACTTCACTTAACATTTATTTTTATAGAGTTTCAAGTTAATGAATTTTCAGATTAAAAAAAGATGAAGTCAAGCTTCTGGTCTGTTGAATCATTTGCAAAATAGTATAAAACGTGAAGATTTCACCTGATTTTTCAGACCCACAAGCTCCAGGAGCACAGAAAGACCTACAGGCCACTCCTACCATTCGCAGCGTGGCTGTCACAGGCCGCTGGCAGAAGCCTCTGTGGCACACCTCTTCCGTTCCGTGAGATAGCCTACTCTGTTCCTGACCAATTCTAGGCATTAGGAAGCTAATTCCATCAACAATCAGGTAGGGTCTGCGTCCATGAACAAGTTCACGCATGGTTTCTGCAGCAACACAGAGCAAGCTTACTTTTCCTTCACATGTCAAATAAATCCCTTTCCCTCCTTCTCTGGACTAAAAATGCCAAGACACATATCGTAGACTCCTTATCATCCAGGTCACCCTGCCATCCTCTGTCTACACCTCTCCAGAAGCAAGAACTCAAGAGTTAAGCACAGCTTACAAAGGCTCTCCATGGCTCTTAAGCTACAAGTTAAAATCTGTTACATGATCTATGAAGACCTCCAGAACCTGGCCTCTGCCTAATTTCACCAGCTTCAGCTTTACCATCCGCCAACTGGTCTTACTTCAAATTCCAGAACACGCCATTCTCCTTCACTCCTCCAGGCTTTCGCACCTGCTACTTATCCCCACACCCAGGCCTCTGCTTCTCCCTCTGGCTAGCTAACTCGTGCTTGTTCTCCAGACACGGGCTTGCTTAATGCACCCCCAGAAGTCTTTCCTGACTTCTCTCCACCAGTCAAGCCAAGGTCTCCTGTTCTGGGCTATCTTGGCACCCCTATGGGCACCAGTCTGACCTACATAGCGATGAATCCCTGCACTGGCTTGTGTCTGAAACAAAATAAAGGCTCAACAAGTGCTTGGAAGTAAAGGAGCGACCCACAACGGACTCGCCCCTTCCTGCAACCTGGGCGCCTTTCTCCTACTGCTTAGTACCCCAGCATCCACAGCACACGCGCTCAGCGGTAGTCAAGTAGCTGGGTTTTGAGGACATGAAGCCGAAAGATTAGCCAAACCCTTGAGGAAGTCACAAGAAGTGACAGAAACAAACATGAAAGAGCATAAATCCAAACCGGATCGTCCACAGAAGAGGTACGCACGAAGAGCTCTGGGAGACCTAACAGACCAGTGAGGCCGACAGCAAGGAGGCAGGGAAGCCAGGAAATATCAAGATGTCAGAAAAGTCATGACAATTTCTGCATTAAAAAACTGGAAAACACGTTATGACTTTTCTGACAACCCATAGCTGGAATGTACTAAAATGAGCAGCACGAAGTAAGCAAGGCACACCTCTAAACGGAGATTCTCCAAGGCCTAGCAGCCCCATGATGCCATGTCTGTGACACCAAGGGTGCCCCTCTTACGGGAAGACAGCACCTGTGAAGTGTGCGTGCTCAGTCAGTCCCCATCCCTAGGAATCCAGGCACACGAGAATAGAGGGGCAGGGGAAATGAACCTTTACAGACAGCTGTCGGAGACGGGAGAGATGAGGGACGTCGCGTCCCAGCTCATGCCCAGGAAGGGGGAACTTCCATTACTGCTCTACCCCAGTGTTTGGATCTCCATCATCCTCTCCCCCCAGCTGCTCCTCCAGATTCAGATGGTCTGGAGACAATTCCTACTCGGCGTTCCATTCCAAATGAGAATGCTGACCCATCCATCACTTCCATCACAACTACTCCCAGCCCTCCTTGCCTTTCAAGTCCCCACATGATCACCCACCAGGTATTTCTTGCCTGTTGCTTATCTCCATAATGGGAATGTGACTAAATGTGCCATGCTTGAACGTCCTCTAGGAGCAGAGCCATCCACAACCTGTGTTTTCTGTGTCCTTCTCCTCCAGTGTAAACACGAGTATTACAGCTTCCCTCCCGAAGTCCGTGCGTGGTATACTGGAATTCTGGCTTCTCTTGGAATATGTTCTTTTCCTCTTTGCTTGAAATAAGGCTGCATTTACACAATGGCTTGCTCAGCTTCAGACTAACCTACCACGACTACGGTTCTCTGTTCCTGGAAACCACAGGATTCCTTTACCTAAATAATTATGTAAGTACAACTTCAAATATTTAATATTATTAAAGCAAGTACTGACCTACTTCACTTAACATTTATTTTTATAGAGTTTCAAGTTAATGAATTTTCAGATTAAAAAAAGATGAAGTCAAGCTTCTGGTCTGTTGAATCATTTGCAAAATAGTATAAAACGTGAAGATTTCACCTGATTTTTCAGACCCACAAGCTCCAGGAGCACAGAAAGACCTACAGGCCACTCCTACCATTCGCAGCGTGGCTGTCACAGGCCGCTGGCAGAAGCCTCTGTGGCACACCTCTTCCGTTCCGTGAGATAGCCTACTCTGTTCCTGACCAATTCTAGGCATTAGGAAGCTAATTCCATCAACAATCAGGTAGGGTCTGCGTCCATGAACAAGTTCACGCATGGTTTCTGCAGCAACACAGAGCAAGCTTACTTTTCCTTCACATGTCAAATAAATCCCTTTCCCTCCTTCTCTGGACTAAAAATGCCAAGACACATATCGTAGACTCCTTATCATCCAGGTCACCCTGCCATCCTCTGTCTACACCTCTCCAGAAGCAAGAACTCAAGAGTTAAGCACAGCTTACAAAGGCTCTCCATGGCTCTTAAGCTACAAGTTAAAATCTGTTACATGATCTATGAAGACCTCCAGAACCTGGCCTCTGCCTAATTTCACCAGCTTCAGCTTTACCATCCGCCAACTGGTCTTACTTCAAATTCCAGAACACGCCATTCTCCTTCACTCCTCCAGGCTTTCGCACCTGCTACTTATCCCCACACCCAGGCCTCTGCTTCTCCCTCTGGCTAGCTAACTCGTGCTTGTTCTCCAGACACGGGCTTGCTTAATGCACCCCCAGAAGTCTTTCCTGACTTCTCTCCACCAGTCAAGCCAAGGTCTCCTGTTCTGGGCTATCTTGGCACCCCTATGGGCACCAGTCTGACCTACATAGCGATGAATCCCTGCACTGGCTTGTGTCTGAAACAAAATAAAGGCTCAACAAGTGCTTGGAAGTAAAGGAGCGACCCACAACGGACTCGCCCCTTCCTGCAACCTGGGCGCCTTTCTCCTACTGCTTAGTACCCCAGCATCCACAGCACACGCGCTCAGCGGTAGTCAAGTAGCTGGGTTTTGAGGACATGAAGCCGAAAGATTAGCCAAACCCTTGAGGAAGTCACAAGAAGTGACAGAAACAAACATGAAAGAGCATAAATCCAAACCGGATCGTCCACAGAAGAGGTACGCACGAAGAGCTCTGGGAGACCTAACAGACCAGTGAGGCCGACAGCAAGGAGGCAGGGAAGCCAGGAAATATCAAGATGTCAGAAAAGTCATGACAATTTCTGCATTAAAAAACTGGAAAACACGTTATGACTTTTCTGACAACCCATAGCTGGAATGTACTAAAATGAGCAGCACGAAGTAAGCAAGGCACACCTCTAAACGGAGATTCTCCAAGGCCTAGCAGCCCCATGATGCCATGTCTGTGACCTTAACTAACACACTGAGAAGCCACCATGTCAGCGTATGCCAAGCACTTAGAGGAATTACTGGGTCGTCAGAAAAGTCAGGATGCATTTATTTTTGTACGTCTTCCTATGCGATATTTACCAGTACTTGGTACCATCCCATTTTGGGACAAAAACACTGAGGCAGAGATGTGAGGTGACTGGTCCCAGGATTACTGGGGGAACCAGACTTTGCCCAGGCATTATGATTAACGTCTCCAAATTCTTCTAAGTTGTATCTTGTTTGGCCAGAAAACACCAGGTGTATTTGGGTAGCTATTTCCTGGGCGGGCAGGTGGCGTGGTGGTTAAAGACGCTAGATTCCAACATGGCTGACTACGGTTCAAGACCTGGGCCTGGTGACTTGCTTTCTCACGTTCCCTCTCTATCTATGATCACACTGAAAAATAATAACAATTAATAAAATTAAATAAAACAATTCTTTAAAAATATTTATATAATTTTATTCATCATTACTATTTTTTAATTTGCTATAGGGCATGGATGCTCACCAGAAACAGAAAAAGTGAGAAAACAACCTGTAAGGTCCAGGACTCCAATGGTCATCCATGTGGGAGTCCAGTGCCTTAATCACCACGTTGGATGGCTATTTTCTAGAAGGACATAGACCAAATGATTAAAGGTATCTCTAAGTATGGCCATTGTGGGCAGGCTTTTAAAACCATCTTTTCAAATGTCCTGCAACAAACTGCCATCAATTTAATAACCAAAAAACATTTTTAGAAAGGAAATATTTTGGGGACCAGCAGATAGCATAATGGTTACATCGCTGGACTCCCACAAGGAGGACTACAGTTCGAGTCCCAGACCCTGTGACTTAAAACTCACACTGGACACGTGTGCTTGTGTGCCCAAAGTCCTACTTGGTGAATAGACTGCGGTGTGGCCATCCCCCGGGGGGCTGATTTCTCCCTTTCTGTCTCTCTGTATCTTCAGCTAGCGCACATGCCCTGTAGTAAAATTCTCTCAAAAAAATTTTGTATAGTGTTAGATAATAGCATAATTTAAGCTCTTGAAGTCTTTGCAAAATCTGCGGTTAACAAAACATCCCAAATTTACGCTATTGGTAAATATGATCAGCATATCTGTAATTCTCATTCAGAATGTAAAAAACGTAGGCAGAGAAGGCCACTGCAGACACGAATCACCTCAAGAACCCCTCCCGCTTTCTAAGTGTTTTTCTTTTTTCTTTTTTTTTTTTTTGAGAGATTTTGCTTTAGGGTGTGTGCGCTGGCCAGAAAGATAGAGAGAGACGGGGAAAGCAAGCGAACTCCCTAGGGGGGATGGCCACGCCACAATCCCTTCTCCTCCATTCTCCTCTAGGGATCTTGGGCCCGCACTAACACATGCCCGACGTGAGTTTAAGCCACCGGGTCCAGGACTCAAACCGTGGTCGACTACATGGGAGTCCAGGGACATAGCCATTACGCTAACTGCTGGTTCCTCTTTTTAAGGTTTTTGCCATAGGGCGCATGCACTGGCAGGAGGTGGGGGGAGGTGAGAAATCACCCCTCAGAGGCATGGCCACACCACAGTCCCTTCTCTATTCTTTTCTTGGAATTTTGGGCGCACACGCACACAGCCTGGCCTGATTTTCTTCTCTTTCTTTCTTTCTTTTAAAGAATTATTTTAATTAACCTTATTTATTTATTTAAATATAACCAGAGAGGGACAGAGAGAGGGAAAGTGAAAAAGCAAGCCGCCAGGTCCAGAACCTCAGTCAGCCATGTGGGAGGCCAACGCCCTTAACCACCATGTCACCTGCGGGCCCCAGCCCAGCCTGATTTTCAAGCTCCAGGTGTCCTGCCAGCCCTGCAGTCTGCCATGTGGTATACAGTACCTTCACTGTGACGCCACCTGCTGGCCTCATGAATCCTGTTTTGACACAGTGGTTCAAGCAACCATAAAACCAAATACCCTGTTTGTTTCCTCAGTTCATGCAATAGTGTTTTTCTTTTATTTTGTAGAGAGATTTTTTGCTATAGGGAGCATGCATTTGGCAGAGACAGAAAGCAAGAAATCATCCCCTACGGGGGGATGGCCAGGCAGCAAGCCCTGTAACCATTCCCAGGCCCTGTCCATGAAGCAAGCATCCCAGACCTGATGCAGCACTCTATTAGCTGAAAGGAGCCAAAACGACTTCACTTTTTTTATACTGGCATTTACTAAGTGCCTCAACGGGGCAGGCCATGTAGATTCTTTGTGTTGAATTGAATCCTGTTTGGAAGCTGAAATTACTGTCCCACTTTGCGATTAGGAAGAGAAAAGGTGAAAGCTAACTTCCCAAAGTCACAGAGCAAGAGTGTCTTAAGACATGCATCCAATCCCAGTCTTCCTAACAACTCTTCCACGCTTCTCCTCCTTCCCGAATATGGGCAGCTACACCACTGGTCAGGTGAACACTCCTTCCTCGAAGACCTACAACCTAAAGCTAATGATCACCCAGGGAGTCACCAAAGAAAACCCTGACGTGAACGCTGGCTGGTGTGAGCTCAGATGAACTCAAGGGAGTTCAGCTTTTAACACGCTGGCTTAACTCAATCAACTTTGGCAACTATTTTTAAAAATGAAATTATGCGTTTTAACAGTAAAACAAACCGTCATTGGTGTTAGGTTGTCTGCCTCCTGGTCCCTGCGGTAAATTATGATTTTCGCATCAGATTACCTGCCCTGCATCCCTGCTCCTTCTTGGGAGATAAATCAACCTCTCTGATACCAATAGCCCAATCTCTCTTGGGTTCATGTAAGGCGCCGTTCCTGTCTCTAATTGAGGGGATGATATTGATGAAACGTATTTTCTTTCCCTCCCCTCCAGTGCGCGTGGATGGAAATCTATCCCACTTCCGGAAACCCAGCAGAGAAATGTCTCGTCTCCAGTCCTCGTTCCCGAAGCACACGAGCGCTCTAACGTAGAGCCGAGGGGGCTGTAAGTGAAGTCTTGGGCTGGGACTCACAGCCCGGAGCCAGCGCCTACCTCCTCTGGGAAGCAGTCGAGCCTCACCCTCGCCCTTGGCTTCTCGTCCTGAGCGAGTAGCACGATCCAGCTGCCCGCCCACTCGCTGCTCTCCGAGAACCCGCGGCGGAGTTCGGGTTCGAGACACGTGCTCCCGGGCGCTCCTCCGCACGCCGTGGGTGTCGGCGGCGGGTTCCGCAAGGCGACAGCGC